GGGCTTGGTCGGAAAAATGCAAAAAAATCCCGGCGGACGGCGGTATACGGTGGTTAGACGGCGGCGGGCAAGGGTGGACATGTCAAATCCGGGCTGCCCGAGCTCGAACCCGAATTTCTTGCTTGGACGGGCGAGAATTGGGCCGGCCCGCCCGAGCCCGAAAAAATTCAGGCTTCGGGCGGCCCGCCGACCCGAAGTTCCAGCACTACTTTTGGGTAGAAAGTTGTATGAATTATTCAACATTTATTAATTTCTCTGTGGAGCAAACTAATAATAATAATAGTTGACAAAAGTTGCATGAATTATTGTAGATGGTTTTTCATTTTGACCGCCTTTTAGCAGACTCAAATCATCTATCTAATTTAAAATTATAAAATAGTTAACTATCATTTGAAAAAATTTAAAAATTTTCATTTATATTTTAATGTTTAAAATTATTAAATGATGTGTTAGTACTCAATTAGATTTTGTTACATTATTCAATAATTTTAAATTTTATTTATAAAAATATTTAAAATTATTAAATGGTGTGACATAATATAATTAGGTCTCGTTCGCTTCGTGGATTCGAATTTTCAATTCAAACTGAGTTGTGACATTTTCTGAGAGCTTTTAACTGTAACAGAAAAAGTTAGATGTGACATTTTTTAAGAGTTTTTAATTGTAAAACTTTAAAACTGAAAACTTGAATTAGTGAAATAAATGAAGTCTTAATTAGGTAATTTCGATCCTTTATTCCCTTCTAGATTTATTTATATATTATTTATTATTTGTTTTTCTATTTCTGTTTCGTGAAGGGAAAGTATTCTAGCCAAGACCAAACAATGTAAGGGTAAATTTCAAAAATAACACTCATGAATAAATTATTATTATTTTTAACACTAATTTTGTTTACTTTCACAGTTAGCATCGCTATGTCAGCAAAAGTGGGACCATGCCGCTTTTACTTGAGTTAAAATGATAATTGTGCCCCATTTCATTTTTGAAGCCTTGAATATATTTTGAAGCCATATAAAATTCAAATATTCAAAGGAGAGAGAGGAGAAAGAACGCGGGTGTGTACAGAGACCAAGAAATCCTAACTACCACCACCGTCTACCACCTTAAGCACTGACGAACCCACGACAACGAGAACCCACGATAGCTAGCCAGAATGCACGAACCTAGAAAAACGCGACGAGAACCCACAAACCTTCGCCGGAGAAATCAACGCTTAACCTAGAAGCATGAACTGAGGAAACCTCACCCTCCTAACATTCTTCACCGGAGAAATCAACCACGAAACAGGCGAGGTCAATGGTGGATTCCGAGACAAAAGTGAAAGCTTTGTTGGCTTTTCTTGTTTATTTGTTTTTTTTCTTAGGTATTTATTGTTTTTTTTCTTTTACCATTTTTTGTCATCTTAGAAGAAAAGAAAGGCTTTGGAAGAGAAGATAAAAGCAGATAAGGTCAGTTATTTAAAATTTTTGATTGTCATTGGATTGTCATTGAGCTCCTTATTTGGTTTGTGAGTCTGCCTAATTGCCGGTAATGGCATTATGACCAGTCGGTAATTGTATTATGACCGATCTATAAGACAGTCACAGCGTGCGGTCATAGTACTATGACCGACGATCATAATGCTATGACTGCCCATCAGGCTCATAATGTGACCACCTGACTGATGAGCTTACGGTCATAGCATTATGCCCGTCTGTCATAGTACTGTGACCGCACTCTGTGACTGCCTTATGACCGATCATAATATAATTACCGACCGATCATAATGCTATGACTGGCCATCAGTCATAACACTATGAGCGAGCATGTATGATGGTCATAGAATTATGACCTCCCGTCACAGTACTATGACCGTACAATTGTTTTTTTTTTCTTACGCCTCATAGGACTAACATAAGTTTATATTGATCTCTGCCTGTTTTTTTGTAGTGGGGACTGCGGCATGTTCACCATTATCTATGCATATTGATTGGTGGAAGACAAAGCACTAGATAATTGGGCTACACAAGAACGCATGCCATTCTACTGTGTCTTTGACATGACACCTGCATTATGGAAAGAAAAAGAGCAATGTGAAAGTGATATTGAAAAAGACGATGTATGGGATGCTTAGCCTATGAAAAGAATGCTTGATTTTTTGAAAAGACAATTCTTACTTCATTTTTTGAAAAGAAGGCTATGAAAGTGAGGCTTTGACTTGATTTTTTGCAATGTTTAGCCTCACATGATTCCTTGTAATGTTTGTAACTATGTATAGCCTCACATGATTCTTTGCAATGTAGAAATAAATCAAATTAATGTCTTATTACAAGATACAACATGTAAGTTTAATTAAACGAAACACACATAAAAGAGTCACTAGATTCATGTTGAGCTTGTTGATGAGCCTAGGTGGAGTGGCACTGGATTCGTGTAGGTTTTACGGTTGTGTCCATAAGAATGACATCTACCGCACTTGATTGTATCAACTTCTTCACCTTGGGATAAAATCCTGGTAACAGGAGGTCCGCATTCCAAGCACATTCCTCACCAAATCTATAATACCAATATAAGTTGTGTTGGTGGGGACTAATATTCTCTTCATTTCACAATCGGCGTATCTCGAAGCACAATCCCAATGTCCATTGTACTTGATGAAGATGTTCAATTTAGCAGCCATTCCTAAATAATTTTAAAAATAATTGTTAATCAACATGCAACTACTCCTAGTCGTCATCGAGTTAGAAATGACCAGTAATAATACTATGTAATGACCGATCATAGTGTGCCGGTCATAACACTATGAGTCATTGAAATAGTCAGTCATAATATTATGACTGGCCGGTCATATCACTATGATTGCCTTATGGCCAGTCATAATACTATGGTCATCCATTTTGACTCATATTGTTATAATTTGACTCATACTGTTTTGACTGGTCATAGTATTATGACCAGACATATAATACTATGAGTCCTAATAATGTGACTCCCAAGGTCAACTATGTCTTTGACTTGTTGGTCCTCACAATCAGTTATAAACCATTCAAAATCTCAAATTGACGAATGATATTTTCAATTCCTATCACATTAAGTTCAACCCAGTCATTTTTTTCGAGTTCTATAATATACTAAAAATTTCAAGTCTCTCGAAAAATAAATTTAAAAAGACAAAAACAAAAGAAAAACAAAAAAAATTGTGTTCCAACCTCAATGTGATACACAACCAGAGTATTGACAATGAGGGAATGAGGGCGTATGGAAGAGAAATACCGAGCAGAGAGATGCTAAACTTGAGAGAAAGAGAGAGAGAGAGCCGAAAATGGGGTGTAGAGAGAGAGAGAGAATGAGAGGGAGAGAGTTGAGAATCTGTTTGAAGTACTTTTAAATGATAATTTTGACCTAAGTGGTATATAAGTCATTTTATCCTTACACTACTGACATGACGATACTAACTGTGAAAATATATAAAAATAGTGTTAAAAATAATAATATTTTATTCAAAAGAGTTATTATTATTATTGAAATTTACCCAAAAAACCTAAACATGTCATCATAGCGCGTCCTTGCCTCTTGACGTGCAAGAAGGAAACCAAGAAACGACGCCGTTTTACTTATCTTTTCCCTTTCTTGGACATAAAAACTCAAAAGGGAACAATCACAAAATCCTATTCATCAACTGTCGCCATGGAGGGAATATGGAGAGCGGTGACGGGCCAAGACCCAAGCCCCGATGACTACAGCGGCGTCGAGTTCTGGTCGGAGCCGGATCGTGCCGGGTGGCTGACCAAGCAAGGCGAATACATCAAGACCTGGCGGCGGCGCTGGTTCGTTCTGAAACAAGGGAAGCTCCTCTGGTTCAAGGACTCCAGCGTCACACGCGCCTCCACGCCCCGCGGCGTCATCAACATGGCGACCTGCCAGACTGTCAAGGGCGCCGAGGACGTCGTCCATAAGCCCTGCGCTTTCGAGCTCTCCTGCGCCTCCCAAGAAGCCATGTACTTCGTCGCCGACACGGACAAGGAGAAGGAGGATTGGATCAACTCCATTGGGAAATCGATCGTCCAGAACTCCCTCGCGCTCGCCGATTCCGAGGTCGTCGATTACGATCACGTTCGACGTTGATTTATTGTTCCCAATCCTATGTTTTTGGTTTGTGAATTTTGAGGTAATTGAGTGCCATGGTGTATAAATTTGTTATTAGAAAAAAATTAGGTTTAATATTGGGGGGAATGTTGTTATCCTTACCAATTTGCTGTATTTAATCGCTGTACTTTCTTTTGACCTGTTTTGTGCAATTTTAAGCAATTTGGATTTCACGAACAATTTTATTGGAATTTGGATTTTGCTCTGCGAATCTTATCTTCTATTTTCGGGCTTCTTTTACTTGTAAAATGAGCGATCTTTGTCGAGTGTGAGTTTGAATTTCTGTGTAAAATCTATTCCTGGGGTTGATTGATTTAGGACGCTACATGGTTTCTCGGATTCTGAAATTGAAAAAAGGTATCCCTTTGTGATTTAACTTGACAGTTTTGGTTCGATTGGAAGCAAGGTGTTTCGACTTTGCAGTCTTATTTTCTTTTAGGTGGATGCTTGAAATAATGACCATATCAGCAGTAGTGAAGAATACGCTGAAGGCCATTGGAACTTCAGTTTCATTCAAGTCTGGTTGGAGAGTTGCATTCCACTACATGCAAACCTAACCTTTCAGGATAGCACAAGTGAGCAAGCCCCGACTTTGCTTTTTTTGTTAATTGACACATCCCACAAGAATTGTATTTTTTTTCCCCTTTGGGCACGGAATGGAATTACTTGGGTTGTTGCTCTTTCAATTTACACCAATATCTTTGATGAGGAATAAAGGATAGACTAAGACGAATATTGAATTATTAAAGTGTCGCTATCAATACTTTGATCTTAAGCTCAGGAGAAACATTGTGGAAGCCAGTACCTTAAAACGTGGGGACACGGCACAAGCGAACAGAAAGATAAAGGAATACCTGCCATTCACCAGCTAACAGGAGCGTCTTGCACCATGGCCTTAAAGAAATGAAAAAAAAAAGAAAGAAGATTGCAATAATTGAGCGAGGGATTAGGTAGAATATAAAAATCGTGACATGCATTTCGTGGCTATTACGTAATTATTATTATTATTATTTTATTATTTTTTGCTTTTCTCGTTTGTTTTTTTCATATTCTATGTTTAATCTATTTCATCAAGAGTAAAAACATTTTTCCTTGTCTGCACTGTGCAGGAGAAAAAAGAGTGGCAAAAATATATCACGTTAGGACTACAGGAAGAAGTAACATCCATCAAGAAGCAGAAATGAAAAGGTCGGAGTTGGTGTTCATCCCGGCGCCCGGAATTGGCCATCTGATCTCGACCCTTGAATTTGCTAACCGCCTAATCGACCGCCATGATCGACTCTCAGTGACAGTTCTCTGCATGAAGTTTCCTATTGCCCCCTATGCTGATGCATACACCAAATCTCTTGTTGGATCACAATCCCGTATCACACTCATTGACCTCCCTCAGGTAGACCCACCTCTTCCAGAGCGACTGAGATCGCCAGAGCACTACATCTATGTTTACATAGAGAGTCTCAATCCTCATGTCAGAAATGCACTCTCAGACATTGTATTATCTCGATCTAACTCTGGCTCAATCCAAGTTGCTGGTTTGGTTCTCGATTTCTTCTGCATGCCGATGATGGATGTGGCCAATGAATTCGATCTCCCTTGTTACATGTTCTTGACTTCTAACTTAGGATTTCTGGGTCTCATGCTCTATATTCCAAGTCGCCATGAGCAGATCAGCTGCGAGTTCAAAGACTCAGATCCTGATATGATATTACCGGGTTTTGTGAGTCCAGTACCTGCAAATGTTTTGCCTTCGCCTGTGTTCAACAAGGATGGTGGTTATACTGCCTATGTTAAACTTGCTCAGAGGTTCAGAGAGACAAAGGGAATCATAGTGAATTCATTTACAGAATTGGAGTCTAATGCTCTGAACTCATTGGCTGATGACCAAACGCCTCCAATCTACTTGGTTGGACCAGTGCTTGATCTCAAGGGTCAGGCTCACCCCAGTTTGGATCAAATTCAGCGAGAAAGGATCATGAAATGGCTTGATGAGCAGCCTCCTTTATCAGTGGTGTTTCTATGCTTTGGAAGCATGGGAGGTTTTGGAGAATCCCAATTGAGAGAGATAACATCTGGGCTCGAACGGAGTGTGCATCGATTTGTGTGGTCTATACGAGTGCCACAACCAAAAGGTCTGGAGGAAATCTTGCCTGAAGGATTCTTGGAAAGGATTGGAGGGAAAGGTTTGATATGTAATGGGTGGGCACCACAGGTGGAGGTCTTGGCTCACAGAGCGACGGGAGGATTTGTTTCGCATTGTGGGTGGAACTCCATATTGGAGAGCTTATGGTATGGAGTGCCAATTGCAACTTGGCCTATTTATGCAGAGCAGCAGATGAATGCATTCCGAATGGTAAGGGAATTTGGCTTAGCAGTAGAGTTAAGATTGGATTTCAGGAACGGTGATCTTGTGATGGCGGACGAGATTGAAACAGCAGTTACGCGTCTTATGGAAGGTGATAGTGAGCTTAGGAAGAAGGTGAAAGAGATGAGTGAGATGGCCAGGAAAGCTGTTGCTGAAGGTGGATCTTCATTTACTGCAGTTGGAAAATTTGTAAACGACATCCCACTAGTGTCTAGTTGTGACTCTTAATGACTGCAGTATATGAATTTGATTTTCATTTCTTTGAGAACCAAGAATAAATTAATCTTCTTTTCTTGCTTGGATGTGAAGAACAAACTATCTTCATATGGACTCGCGAGTCAGTTTCAGTTTGATAGTTACTCGGTCATCAACCTTGAATCAAGTAATGGTTCATTTATGCAACTTTTGGGTTATTACTCTTTTTTTTTTTTTTTTTTTAAATTATTTTCCTTTAAATCAAGATACTGATATTATATATGATGTGTGTTTGTGTGTGTGTATATAATATTTCTTTTGCTGGAATGGTACCAATTCTTATCGTATCGTATTTGAGCAGTAAATGAAATCATTATCAATTTGTCATCTAGTTGGCTATTATCTCGCTTTCTCATCAAATATGATACTGATAATAAATATTAACATCATACGGTAAACATTATTGCATTTCCTGTGTCTTAACAACTCCCAGTAATGATAATAATTTCCAATCGCAATGCGTATTTTTAATTGTTTATTTTCGGCAAATCCAACTATGATAATATAATTTAGCAATGAGGTGGAAGTTCACGGTATTGACTTTGTGGTTAATTACTTAATAGTTAATTCCGTCATTTTCTTCCTGTCAAGTACCCTCTCTTTTTAAGCTCTACTTGCCATGATCATCAAGACCACAAGTTGAAAGATAGGAAGAACATAAATGGTTCGGCTTAGGACTGGAAAGGAGGAGGAGGAGGAGGAGAAGAATAAGAAGTCAAGAGTTGGTCTTCATTCCATGGACGCTCATCAAAACCGCTGAAATCGCAAGCGCCTGACCGACCAAGATGATTGAATTTCAATCACAATTCTTAAGTTTCCCTCAACTTCTATTGCAGATGCATTCACCACGTCTCTTGTTTGTTGACTCAGAAACCAGAATCAAGCTCCTAGCCATAGGCCTTCCCTCACCTCACTTCCTCACCATCCTAAACACATTCAGCTGCTGTTCTGCGTAAATAGGCCAAGTCGCAATCGGCACATCATACCACAAGCTCTCCAATATGGAAATCCACCCGCAATGCGACATGGACCCTCTGATCGATTTGTGAGCCAGGACCTCTGCCTTCGGCAAGTTAATCTCCTAGTTACGACACAAACAATTTTTTTTTTTCTTTGGTTAAAATGCAACCAAACCTCTTAGTAGTACAACTTGAGCCAATCCTTGATTTCAAGTATGTGTGTTTCTAGAAATGATCAATCATTTTTTTTTTTTTTTTTTTTCCTGAGGCTGCTGATGTTAGAGAATTTGAGAGTAGAGGATGAAAAGAATACAAAAACAAGACAGGGTTTGAGGCGTATGGGAATACTTTCCTTTAAGGTTTTATTTGTCTTCACTTCTCAAAGTTTACTAATGAGTTTTAATGACAAATTACCCCCAAGATACAACAAACTCTTGAACACAATATCTAGCAATAATATTGAGTTTCAGAACATGAATTAAGTCTGTAAATTTTCTAGAAAATTAATTAAATACGGAGATGCCATTTCATGAATGAATGGATCTTCTTTAAACATTACAACTTTTCACATAAAGATACATTTTCAATGTAAAGATATCTTTTCATGGATTGATACACCTATTACAATGGTTATATCTATTGTTAATAAGTGTTTAGATATGCAAAAAAATATATCACCAATGGATGTAATGGTTCAAGACCTTTCAAATCACATAAACACACAAAAACATAGTTTTCTATAGCAATATCCGCTGCAGCGGGTGATTTTCCCGCTGCAGCGCTTGGGCAGCGCAAAAGAGACCCGAGAAGTCTATTTTACGAGCGCTGCAGCGCGCCTGTTTTTCCAGATTGGCGCTGCAGTGTCCAAAACTAGCACTACAGCGCGCTTGTTTACATGAATTGGCGCTGCAGCGCCCATAACTGGCGCTGCAACGCCAAATGCTGCCTTGACAGCACCAAATGGTGCTGTCAAATTCGCTGCATGCGCTTCCTTTTTTTTTTTCTTGTGTTTTAGGCCAAAAATTATTTGATCTTGTAATTGAGAGATATATTACAATCTCTATAATAATTCCCCACTAGATTGTAATATTTCTCCAGAATTAACAACGATAAACACATACATACATGAAGGTATCTTTCGATTTTAACCTCTAATTAGTGACTACTTCAAAGTATTCACAAGACAATAGTGTGCTTTGCATTAAACTTTGTCTCTTAAGCAAATACCGGAAATATATCACATATGTGTTATCCCAAACTTAAAAAATCTGTTCCAATTGTTTAGCACTATTCTGGCCTTGTGCTCTATCTTGGATTCATGAACATTTACAAGATTAAACCATGGTCTTATTAGGAATGGCACCATTGCGTATGTTCACTTAGGTGAAGATTTGAATTATATCTCTAGCTACTATGAGACTCGAACTCCATTAAGAGTATAAACTCAACCTCAACCACGTAGTTATTTTGCACCGACATCTTAGAAGAGACTAATTAAATTTTGGTGCTAACCTAGTCACGTAACAATGACTTGTTCTTACCCATTTAACTATAGAATAATGGTACAACTACTACATAGTTGGGTTACCATCATCGGTGACTCTTTCAAAGAAAGGTTTCAGTCATATTCCACTAGATGTTTCTTTGACTGAGTCTCTTGAAAGACCTTTTGTCAAAGGATCCGCTAGGTTCTTGTTTGTCCTAACATAAACAATATTAATAACACCATCGGTTATTAATTGTTTCACATATCCATGTCTCAAGCTAATATGTCTAGATTTTCCATTATAAACTTGGTTATAAGCTCTAGACAAAGTAGCTTCACTATCGCAGTACAAAGAAATAGATGGCATCGGTTGTGGCCACAACTCAATATCAAACAATAGATTTCTCAGCCATTCCACTTCTTTGCCCGCAGCGGCAAGTGCTATAAACTCACTCTCTATCGTAGAATGAGTTATGCACGTTTGTTTCTTAGAAACCCAAGAGACGGCTCCTCCTGCAATTGTGAAAATCCAGCCGGATGTGGATTTGTTATCACTTGCACTTATTATCCAACTTGCATCTGAGTACCCTTCAAGTACCGCCGGATAGTCATTATATGACAAACCCAAATTAATGGTTCTTTTAAGATAACTAAGTACTCTACCAATTGCATTTCAATGTTCAATACCCGGGTTACTCGTGAACCTAGACATTTTGCATACCACAAATGCTATGTCGGGTCTTGTACAATGCATGACATACATTAAGCTACCAATCATACTAGCATATTCAAGCTGTGCTACCGCTCGGCCTGCATTCTCTAGTAATTTAATACTAGAATCATATGAGGATTCACTTTAAACTTCAAATGATTGAATTTAAGAAGCACCTTTTCAATATAATGAGATTGACACAACGAGTAACCCCCACTATGCTTCCTCACTTTTACACCTAAGATAATATCTACCTCACCAAGATCTTTCATCTTAAATTGTGAAGTTAGATATTTCTTAGTATCATTTACCCCTTGCATGTTTGTTCCAAAGATAAGTAAGTCATCAACATATAAACATATAATCACACCAAAATTATTTGTAAATTTAGAGTATATGCATTTATCCCAATTATTATGCTTAAAACCATGAGATAAAATGATATTATCAAATTTCTCATGCCATTGTTTTGGTGCTTGCTTTAAACCATAAAGTGACTTGACTAACTTGCAAACCTTCTTTTCATTTCCAAGTAATACGAACCCTTCGGGTTGTTTCATATAGATTTCCTCATCAAGATCACCATTTAGAAAAGCCGTCTTAACATCCATTTGATGCACATACAAATTGTATATTGATCCAATTGCAAATAAGACTCTTATGGATGTCAATCTAGCTATCAGAGCATATGTATCGAAATAGTCTATAACACATTTTTGTTTAAAGCCATTGGCTACCAATCTAGCCTTGAATGTTTGTATAGACTCATCAGTATTGTACTTTCTTCTAAACACCCATTTGTTGCTTATTGGTTTTGATCCTGGAGGAAGATCAACCAAGATCCAAGTTTGATTCAACATAATCGAATCCATTTCATCATTTACGGCATCTCTCCAAAAGGAGGCATCTCTTGAAGACATAGCTTCACTAAATGTCTTTGGATCTTCTTCTACATTAAGCAACAATGGTATTTTATTAAGTACACCATTTCTATCTCCTTCAACCAAAAAGGTTAAAGCTTGAGATGAAATAAAATCTGGTGCTAAGTCCTTTTCTTTTCTTTCACGTTGACTTCTTCTCGGTTCGAAAGATGTCATCGACTCTTTCCTTTTATTAGTAGAGGTACCAAGAATGTCAACACATGGTTGATTAACATTAGATTCTAATTCAGTGGAAGAATCAAGGCTAAACTTGTTCTCAATAAATTCAACATCTCTTGATTCCACATTGACATTAGAATCTAGATTTAATAATCTATAAGCCTTGGAATTTTCAGCATATTCTACGAAAACACTTTTAATTCCTCTAGCACCTAACTTTGATGATTTAGGGTCAATCACTCTATAAAAGGCTAGACAGCCCTACACCCTTAAATACATTAAGTTTGGTTTTCTTCCTTTCCATACTTCATATGGAGATACATGTGTTTTCATAGATGTAATTCTATTGTGAATATGACATGCAGTAAGTAAAGCTCCCCCCCATAAATTATTAGACTATTTAGCATTAAAAAGCATAGAGTTCATCATATCGGTAAAAATTCTATTCTTTCTTTCAGCCAGTCCATTTTGTTGAGGAGTAAAAGGGGCTGACCTTTGGTGAATAATACCATGCTCTTCACAGAAGGCATCAACCATTTTGATCTTCTTGGTGAAAAATATTCACCACTTCTATCACTTCGAACCATTTTGATCTTCTTGTCTTTTTGGTTCTCAACTTCAACCTTATAAATTTTAAATTTATCAACGGCTTCATCTTTTGTTCTAAGTAAATACACATAAGTGTATCTAGAACAATCATCAATGAAAGTGATAAAGTATATCTTTCCTCATCTCGTTAAAATACCATTATACTCACAAATATCGGTATGAATCATAATTAATCAAACCTTGTTTAGACATATATTTCAGAGATTTAAAATTTAAGTGTGCTAAACGTGCATGCCAAACATCAAAAGAATCAACAATATAAAGAGAATTCACATAATCTTTATTATTAATGCTAAGTTTGTACATGCCATCACAAGAACATCCTTTTCCCACAAAGATCTCATTCTTAGATATGCTAAAATTATTGCCCTCAAGTACAATCTTAAGCCCATTCTTACACATTAGACTAGCGGATACAAGATTTTTCCTACTGTCAGAAACATGAAGAACATTATTCAAAGTAAGTTTCTTTCCGAAAGTAAAGTTGATCTCCACCATTCCTCTCCTGACAACCATCGCTGCATCATTATTCCCCATGAGAACCATTTGTCCTTCTTTTTCCACTTTGTATGATGAGAACAAATTATTGTCATTACAAACGTGGATTGTGGCACCGGAATCAAGCCACCATTCGGAAGAATTTGTTGCAGCCATGTTAATTTCGGTAATCATGCTAATTTGCATTTTTGAGACCATAGCACAAATGTCTTCAGATTTCTCTTCAACAGTATTGGCTTTGTTGGTGTTAACTTCTTCCTTTTTCTTCTTGTATCTGTAGTCATTTTGGTGATGACCTTTCTTTCCACAAAAGAAACAATTTCCAGAAAATTTCTTTTGCCCATTACCGGACTTTTTGAACTTCTTGTCATTATTGACTTTGAAGTTCTTAGAAAACTTACTAGCTTCGGCAACATTAACCGTAGAGGAATCTATAATCTTGCCCTTGGGATCACGAGACTTGGTCTCTTCTTCGATCCTCAAGTATTTTTGTAATTCCCCTAAAGTTATGCCATCTCTCATATGAATGAGTTTCTTTCTATAACTATTCCAACTTTGAGGCAATTTAACAATAATTGCCCCCACTTGGAATGATTCAGAAATTTCAACTTTCGATTCACGAAACTTAGTAACAATGACTTGCAATTCATGTATTTAATATAGAACAGACCCAATCAGCCATGACAAATTCAAGAAATTTCAAGATGAGGAATTTGTCTGTACCTTCCTTCTCAGTTTTGTACTTGTATTCGAGAGCGTTCCAAATCTCCACCGGAGACTCCATCGAGTTCTAGAAATCGTAGAGCCTATCGGAAAGAGTGTTGAGAATGACCCCGGCACATGACTTCATCATCTTCACGCTTCTTCTTTACAGCCTTCAAGTCTTCAGAATCATCCTCCTTCAGTTCCGGAAGAGGCCCCAACTTCGGATCAAGCACGTAGGTAATCTTGAGCACGGTGAGAAGAAAGCACAACTTTCCTTTCTAGCGGGTGAAATTGATACCATCAAATCTATCAAGTTGGACCTTTAGATTGAGAAAAGACGTCATGTTCTTTTCAACCTCCATTACAGCAAGTTAAAACCTTAAAGATTGTTGGAGAAATTGAGAGTATAGGATGAAAAGAATACAGAAACAAGATAGGGTTTGAGGCGTATAGGAATACTTTCCTTTAAGGTTGTATTTGCCCTCACTTCTCAAAGTTTGCTAATGAGTTTTAATGGCAAATTACCCCCAATATACAACAAACCATTGAACACAATATCTAGCAATAATATTGAGTTCTAGAACATGAATTAAGTCTGTAAATTTTCTGAAGAATTAATTAAATACAGAGATGCCATTTCATGAATGAATACATCCTCTTTAAACATTACAACCTTTCACATAAAGATACTTTTTCAATGTAAAGGTATCTTTTCATGGATTGATACACCTATTACAATGGTTATATCTATTGTTAATAAGTGTTCAGATATGTGAAAAAAATATCACCAATGGAGGTAATGGTTCAAGACCTTTTAGATCACATAAACATACGAAAACATAGTTTTCTATAGCAATATCTGCTGTAGCGGGTGATTCTCCCGCTGCAGCGCTCGGGCAGCGCAAAACAGACCTGAGAGGTCTATTTTGCGAGACGCTGGAGCGTGCCTGTTTTTTCGGATTGGCGCTGCAGCGTCCAAAACTGGCGCTGCAGCGCACCTGTTTACATGGATTGGCGCTCAACGCCAAATGCTGCCTTGACAGCGCTTCCTTTTTTTTTTTCTTGTGTTTTAGGCCAAAAATTATGTGATCTTGTAATTGAGAGATATATTACAATCTCTCTAACAGCTGACACAAGGATTTAATTTTATTTGTTTGCTTGTTTTCTATTTGTGAACTAATGATCTTGATGCGGATCAATTCAGATAATTTGGAATTGAGTTTGTTAATAAAGAGTTTGATTTCGTTGATTAGGATCAATTTCAGATGCTGGTTTTATGCATTTAATTTAGTATATTTAGTTTCCCATTTTAATTATGTAACTAGCCTATAAATTGGCTACATTGTTAGTGGACAATTTAGATTAGGATGATATGAATATTGAATTTCAGAAATATCCCCCCTCCTAAATTTCTTCTCATTCGTCTCTCAATTTCTCCTATTCTCTCTTCAATTTAAATTTCTCCCCTTTTTTTTTTTTTTTTTTTTTTTTTCTAATTTCTCTTCTTTCTCTTCTCAATTTACTTTTCTCCCCTAGTCCTGCATCATTTTTGTTGATGGTCGATTTTTGTCAACAGATCTTTACCGGATTACCCCTTGGTCACCGCAGGGTTACCGACTAAAGCTTTGTATTTAACTAAATATTTTAGTAAAAGTGTTTATGCAACCAGTGTATCGTGAAGAATATTTGATGCGGTGCTGGAGTGAAAGTAAAAAATAGACAGACAAGTTTATAGTGGTTCACCCTTATATCAAAAGAGTTACATCCACTGTATTGTATTTATGTTGCGTTCTTCAGGATTTACATAAAAAAGAAGAAAACACCTATATTTTCTCTATGGTGCTTTCCTCCCTTTTATAGCCCGTGGATTGTGTTTGGGTCCTTTTGGATGGGCGGTTGCAAGGAGTTACACGATGGCTTTCCTCAGGTAGCCTGTCACTCTACAAGGCTAGACTAGCCCTTTTAGCACCTTTTGGACTGTTCACTCATCGCTTTCTTGTTCGTTGGAAAGGATCTGCTGATGATTCTTGGATCACTGCGGAAGAGTTTCACCAACTTGCTCCCGAACTCCTAGGCTCCTATTTGCAGCAAACATCGACAGAGTTTGAGTTCTTTTCAACCGGGGGAGAATGATGCGGATTAAATCAATTAGGATAATTTGGGATTGATTTTGTTAATAAAAAGATTGATTTCATTGATTAGAATCAATTTCAGATGTGTTTTTATGCATTTAATTCAGTATATTTAGTTTCCCAATTTAATTATGTAACTAGCCTATAAATTCGCTACATTGTTAGTGGACAATTCAGACTTTGATGATATGAACATTGAATTTCAGAAATATTCCCCCTCCTAAGTTTCTTCTCCTTAGTCTCTCAATTTCTCCTAATCTCTCCTCTATTTCTCTCTTTTCTTCTAGTTTCTCTTCTTTCTCTTCTCTATTTCCTTTTCTCCCCTAGTCCTGCATCAGATCTTTTCTGTAAGTACGAGTATATGGAATGGATCTATTAGTGTGCACACTAGAAACACCAGCCTTTGATTTGCTCTTGCTGTACATAATAGAAGGAAAAAAAAAATTATTATGTCACGGGACCATATATACCACCAAATTAGGGATTACACATCCTGATTATAATAATATTTAGCATTATACGCAAATTGTGGATGCATTATAATTCTTTTTTATCTCACCCTTCAAATTCAGATCCTGATATTGCATATGATATGTAAGCAATACGTGTATATATTTAGGGCTCGTTTAGCTTGTTGATTTGAGTTTTTAATTTGAGTTGAGATGTGATTTTATATGAAAATTTTTTACTGTAGTAAAAAAGTTAGATGCGACTGTTTCTGAAAATTTTTTACTGTAATAAAATTCGAATTCTAAACTCGAATAAGTGAAATGAACGTGACCTTAGCATCACATAAACTGACGTCATTGTCTACGTCGTTAATTTAATTTTCGCTTTCTTCTTATTATATTCATATTGAATCTACGTGCATTTCGTCCATCGACTTTGTGGTTAATTACTTGTTTTTTCCCTCCTTTTCATCTCCTGTCAATGTCCTTCGATTAGCTATTCAAGCTTTCAAGACCACAAGTTCAAGGATAAGAAGAACATAAAGAGTTCGTAGTAGAACTGAGAAGGAAAAAAAAAAAAAAAAAAGAAAAGAATAGAGCTGAAAAATGAAAAAGTCCGAGTTGGTGTTCATTCCATGGCCGATGGTCGGCCACCTGGTCTCAACGGTCGAAATTGCCAAGCGCCTAATTGACCAAGATGATCGAATTTCGGTCACAATTCTCTGCATCAAGTTGTGGTTAACTCCATTTGCAGATGAATTCACCAAGTCTCTTGTTGGCTCAGAAACTCGAATCAAGCTCATAGACATCCCCGAACCGCCTTCTTCAGAGCTACTGATAAAGACAAGAAAAGACTATTTTTATCTTTACGCAGAAAGTCTTGTCCCTCAAGTGAGAAACACTCTCAAACACATTATTATGTCATCTCAATCGAACTCAATCCAAGTTTCAGGTTTGGTTCTTGATTTCTTCTGTATGCCTATGTTGGACGTTGCCAATGAACTCGGTCTCAATAGTTATATTTTCTTTACTTGTAACTTGGGATTTCTTAGTTTCTTTCTTCACCTTCCGACTTGCCATGACCTGATCGGCTCTGAGTTCAAAGACTCGGATCCTGATCTTATATTACCAGGTTTCGCGAATCCAGTGCCTGTAAGACTTATACCTGCGCATCTGTTTACCAAGGATGGTTACTCCTTAATGCTTAAACTTGCTCAGAGGTTCAGAGAGACAAAAGGAATTTTAGTAAACTCTTTTGTTGAACTGGAGTCTCATGATATAGTTGAATCGTTGATTAGTGATGGGAAAACGCCTCCACTCTACATGATTGGACCAGTGGTTGACCTCGAGGGTCTACCCCACCCAAGCGCAGATCAAGCTCAACAGGAAAACATCATGGAATGGCTCGACGAGCAACCCGATTCCTCCGTTCTGTTCCTCTGCTTTGGAAGCGTTGGATGCTTCTTTGGAGCGTCCCAATTGATAGAGATTGCGCTCGGGCTTGAACGTAGCGGATACAGATTCTTGTGGTGTGCAACATCACAAAAACCTTTCAGAAATGTTCAAGAGGAGATCACTTTTCCTGAAGGATTCTTGGAGAGGACTAAAGGGAGAGGGATTGTCTGTGAGTGGGCGCCGCAAGTGGAGGTCTTGGCTCACAAAGCGGTCGGAGGGTTTGTGTCGCATTGCGGGTGGAATTCCATATTGGAGAGCTTGTGGTGTGGCGTGCCGATTGCTACTTGGCCTATTTATGCAGAGCAGCAGCTGAATGCATTTAGGATGGTAAGAGAATTTGGATTGGCAGTGGAGTTGAGATTAGATTACAAATACGATAGAGATGTCGTGATGGCGGAGGAGATTGAGATGGCAGTAAAACGTCTTATGGAAGGTGAGAGTGAGGTGAGGAAGAAGGGAAAAGAGATGAGCAAGATGGCTAGGAACGCCGTGGCGAAAGGTGGGTCTTCCTTTAATGCACTCGGACAACTGATAGCAGATGTCGTTAGGAGCATGTAACCTAGTTTTTAGTTTTAATTATCATAATGATGTCTTGGGCTATTTTCTTCCTTTTCTTGACCGTGTTACGTAAGCAATTAGCTATTTTCAGAAAATAAAATTTCGGCTTCGTTCGCTTCACGGATTTAAATTTTTAATTTGAATTGAGATGTGACATTTTTTAAGAGTTTTTTTACTGTAACATAAAAAGTTAATGTGATATTTTTTAAAAATTTTTTACTGTAAAAATTTAAAATTAAAAACTCAAATCGGTAAAATAAATGAGACATTTGCGTTCGTTTTTAATGGCCTGTCGTCTGAGCCTAGTTTTTTCACCTGTCATTCTGCCACCAATTGAATTATCAAAAGACGAGCAAGTCTAGAGAGACTTATTTTTCTTCATCAAGAACAGAAAAAGTCAGGTGGGTCTTGAAATAATGATGACTCTGTCATTGTTATATTAGACGTAAGTTTTTCAAGCACTGTCCAATTTAAATGAACATATTAAACGCAAAGTTGCAACTCTCAACATTTGTGAGACTCTTCAAGAATCTGTTCTTTATAGAAAAATTAAGTGCAGGAAGAAGTTTTGAGGACTGCTAAATATTGCAAAAGGCCTGAAGCATCTTCATGAAAAGTGAATAACAAAGTGTGCGTTTAGTTAGTATATTCATATCATAATTTAAATTATAATTCGTGATTCGTTATAATATTTTTTCTCATAAAAAATATACATAAATTAAAAATAATTTTAAATTATAATTCTAAATTTATAGATTAAGCGTTCACAAAGAATTCTAGACCGTGAATATTTGATTGTGGTAGGAAGAAAATTGAGTGACGGACACGGACGAAGATGAAATCAAAAGTCAAATAACGTGCCTGGTAAAAGCTATTCGTGTCTTAGTTGCGTATGACAAGGCTGACAGCAGATAGAATAATGAACAGGAAATAAGATAGAGAATCTACAACAGGAATCATGATCGTCTTTTTGTGCTTGTTTGGTAATTAGATTTTGAAAAATTCGGTTTGAAATGGTGCTGGGCAACGTTTTTTAAAACCAATTTTAAGCCATTGATTTGGCAACTTGAACAAAAAACAAACTCTAAATTTAAATTTAAATCTCGTTCATTTTACCGATTTAAATTTTATTATAATAAAAAATTTTAAAAATAATTATATTTAATTTTTTTATTAAAATAAAAAATTTTATATAAAATCACATTTTAATTTAAATTAAAAATTTAAATTAATAAAATAAACAAACTCTTAGGACCCTCGTATTTTGGCGTTTTGAACCAAAAGACATATTTTTAACTCAAAACGCTCATTTGAATCCCTTTCTCTCGCAAAACAACCATGATAGCAGCGGTCTTGTCAGGTCGTTATCGGTTGCGCAATTGGAAAAAGTGGAAGCTGCCATTGAGTTTTCATCATTTTTTATTTTTTATTTGGTAGTTATTACTTATCACTTAATTCCTTCCTTTTTTTTATCTATCCACTTTTCTCTTTTGATTTTCGTGTCTAACTTTAGTTGGCGTGGTATTTAAGGGATTATTTTTTTAGAGTATAATTTGAGTGTAATTTTTGAGTTGAATTTGAGTTATAATTTGAGTTGAAGTTAGAATTTGAATAAAGTTGAGTAAAATTGAATAAAGTTGAAACTTAAAAGAACGTAAACTTGAATAAAATTAAAACTTGAGTTGTCTTTTTTTGAGTTTTATGGACAAAAGAACATGCCCTAAATTTTTAGTTTAAATTAAAATGTGATTTTATATGAAAATTTTTTATTATAATAAAAAAATTTAATGTGATTGTTTATGAAAATATTAGATATAACTGTTTCTGAGAACTTTTTATTGTAGTAAAATTTAAATTTTAAACTCGAATCGATAAAATGAACAAACTTTAACTATTTTGATTCCATAAGATATATAGGGGTTGTTCTTTTAGAGTGTAATTTGAGTGTAGTTTTTGAGTTGAATTTGAGTTATAACTTTAGTTAAAGTTGTAATTTGAATAAAGTTGAGTAAAGTTGAATAAAATTTGAACTTAAATAAAGTTGTAACTTGAGTTTAAACTTTTTCTGAATTTTGTTGTAAAAGAACAATCTCATAGTTTCCTTATCATTCAAGACCATCAAGAGTGCAAGCAGAAAGATAGGAAGAAAGTGTTCACTTTAGGAGTTAGGAATTAAGGGAGAGGAGGAATATATTTTTTGTTTTGTTTTTTTTTTTCTTTTTTCAGAGAAGCTGAAAATGAAGAAGTCTATAATTTTAAACTAGTAGAAAACATGAAAAATGTTTTTCTTAAAAAGAAAAATAACTTCCTTATCATTTAGGACCATCAACAGCGCAAGTAGCTAGATTGATTGGAAGAACACAATGTTCGCTTAAGAGCATCTCCAATGCAATGCTAAATTGATATACTGATGATAAATTTAAATAATAAAATTACTTTTCAATGTAATATTATTCTTTTTGCTAAATTTGTCTATGCTTTACTTTGTGTCAAATATGCCACAAAATATAACATATAGCAAATTTGACATTATTATTATTCGTTAATATGTTTATTTTTTCATTTAATCATTACAAATTTTACATTTTTAAATTATTTTAAATGAAAAATTTACTTTTACCGCTTTTAAAATTTACTGGTTATAACGAAAAATAAATTTAGCATTTAAAATAATATTATGCATTTGAGCATAACGAAAATAACATATCAAATATGTTATTTTCACACTTTTTAGTGACAAATACACCATTAGCAAAAGCATATGCATTAAACATGGTCTCAAGAGTTAGGATTGAAGGGAGAGGAAGAATTTTTTAAGCTGAATGTAAATAATTTTATAATTTCAAACTAGTAGTATTAAACATGAAAAATGTTTTTTTTATATAAAAAATAGTACCTTCAAGTATGATATAATAATATGAAAAAGTACGAAAATTTTAATATAATTATTACGTTAATCGATCCTAATGATACACAAATATATACACACACACACACACACACACACATATATATATATATATATATATATATATATATCAACAACAATTGAAGTAATATCCAGAAAAATACAGAGAATTTCTAAATCAAATAACTCTAATTTTGGATATTTTTTTTTGTTTGCACACATTTATACAAAGAGGTAAGCCTTCTATATTATCGTATGCTATTGATAAAAATACGTGCTTAATCATTGCAGTTTACGAGTTTATTGTCTTTCATGGAGAAATGAGGATGTGAGCTACTATTCTTTTTCTTCCTCAATTCTTCAATAAATGCATAAAATAGTATCTCCAAGAAAAGGAAAATAAATGTGTTTATTCTGGATTTTGTTGCTGTTATTGTGTCGTCGTCGATTTCTTTGAATAAAGTTATAATACTTTCAGTCGTTTTAAGTGGGTGCTTGAAGCAACGATTAAAAAAAACAAAGAAAAAAAGGAAAAAACAAAAACCTTATGGGTCCCACAAGGACATAAGGCACACCCTAGGTGTCTGTGGAGCTGTTCAGCTACGCGGAGCCGTTTAGCTTTATTGTTTAAGATTAAGGTCAAGCCGTAAAAGATTATCAATAATGGAATGTAGTTCTTTTTTATGCACAATGGTATGAGGTATCTCTATTCAGTAATCACCATTACAACTATACAGATAAGATCATCCCATTCCTAACTGCCTTCCGAGCTTATCAGAGAGTTGAAATAAAGCACATATATTATTGGTCTCATTCATTTCACCAATTCGAGTTTTCAATTTTAGGTTTCTACAATAAAAAATTATTATAAAATGTTACGTTTAATTTTTTCTGTTACAGTAAAAAACTCTAAAAAAATGTTACATCTCGGCTCAAATTGAAAACTCGAATCCACAAAATGAACGAGCCCATTATTTAGAATTAGGTGTCACTAAATATTGATTATGATAATCCTTAGCATCATCGGAAAATGATTCAAATTCGGTGATACCTAACCCTCAGGGGTGGGAGAGCTTCATAAATAACTTTCTTCAAAGCTGGCAAGTACGAGGATGAAGCAAAAATGTAAAGAGTCATCCATCACCTGAGCGGATCAATGAGCACATCAATTTACACCGTCCATCAATTATCCAGGGATCTGATGGAAAGATAATATTTGCAATAGTAGACGTGCAAAAAAAAAAAAAAAATTTGTATTGTAATAGTTGTTTAACAGCGTATGTGGGTTACTTTTTCTTTTAAAAAAAAAAAAATGGCACCAACGATTTTAATAAAATAAAAAAGAAATGGTTGCACAGTTGTTCACTTCACACTATGATGCAAAATCCTATTTTATTGTTTGGTTCTTCTCTTTATACTTTTTTTCTAAGAGCGTTGGTTTTAGTTTCACGGGCGATTGGAAATTTTTGATGCGAAAAGAAGCTTCTTAAGGGCCCGTTTGTCTTCTAAGCCAAAATAATAATAATAATAATGAATTAGATTAGAATTTTTAAATTTAAATTATATAGTTATTTATCAGGATATATTTTATCTTTATTTTAATTTTAAATTAAGATTATATTTATCTGGTAGCATTATTTTTGAATTTTTTGAGGTTTATCTTTTACATTTCTATAGATTAGTGGTTTGTACGAATATTGGGTTTTAGTTTTTCCCTCTTGATTTCTAACTCTATCTCTATTTTTATCTCTTTTGTGATTATTCGTCTCTATCTTAGATCTATTTCTCCTCTTAATTCTCTCTCTGTTTTTTTATTATTATTTTATCTAAATTATATTTCTCTTCTACATTCTATCTCGGTCTTATATCAAGTTTCTTAAGTGGAGGTTTTTTTTTTTTATTTTTTTTATTACTATCACATGTGGAAACTTCACTTTGACTAGGTTTAGTTGGAGAATAGATAGAGCATACTTGGTCAAACAACACGAAGCTAGTATTTTCAAATGGAATTTTTTCTTTTACCACTTACTTCAACCCATTTGTTCAGACAAACAAAACATGGCAAAATGCTCGTCAACATGTTTTTCAAGTCTGTATTAAGATTGCTATTAACGCTGAATACCTTTTTTTTCATGTGGATACTGACGCTAGGACTTTGTTATGTTTCGTACCAAGTCGCCTTTTCTGTAAATTTAAGGGCATGGAATGAATATATTGTTGTGAACACATCCTGATTCCTGATTATGATAATATTTATATTCGCACACAAATGGCACCACATACAACTTCTTGGTTATATTACTTGATTACTTTTTTTTGTTTCCTGCAAATCCAAATAGTAATATTATATGTGGTGTGTGCATGTTTTTATATATATATATATATATATATTTCTTTTGCTGGAAATGATACCGATTCTTATTGAGTTGGCTTCATGTTGTTGTCATTTATGTATCTTTCGCTGGAAATGATACCGATTCTTTTTTGAATTTGGCATCATATATATGTCGTTGAATTATTGGATTCTCTCCTTCAGATTAAATATTATTTAACATCATATTAAGAAGATAAATGTATTTGGTGTCTATCCTAGTTATTTCATTATCTTCGAATCTCGATCACGACAATAATTTGAAATCACACAGCGTACACTTACCTATTCATTTTTCGGCAGATTCCAATTATGACAACAATTTGCCATTAATCATGTAAGAATTTCATGCATGCAGTTGGTGGCCATTACTTAATTGTTACTTCCCTCCTTATTTTTCCCCCCCTTTCCTTCGCCCACTTTCTTTTATCTTTTTAAAACTCTACTTGTGTAACTTCAAGATCAACAAGACTAGAAGTTCAAAGCAGAAAGAATATAAAGAGTTCAAATTAGGACTGGAATTAAGGAAGAAGGAAGTAAAAATCCTTCAAAGAAAGCTGAAAAATGAAGAAGTTTGAGTTGGTGTTCGTTCCATCACCGGCCACCAGCCACCTTGTCTCAACCATTGAAATCGCGAAGCGCCTAATGAACCAAGATGATCGAATTTCGGTCACAATTCTCTGCATGAAGGCTCCCACAACTACATATTTAGATGCATTCACCAAATCTCTTGTGGGCTCAGAAACTCGAATCAAGCTCGTACACCTCCCGCAGGTAGACCCGCCTCCTACGGAGCTAATCACGAAGTCAGGAGAATACTACATCTATGCTTACATAGAGAGCTTCGTCCCTCATGTCAGAGACACTCTTAAAAACATTTTGTCATCTCACTCTAACTCGCACTCAACCCGAGTTTCTTGCTTGGTTCTTGATTTTTTCTGTATGCCCATGTTGGATGTGGCCAATGAACTCGATCTCCCTTGTTATCTTTTCTTCACTTGTAACTTAGGATATCTTAGTCTCATGCTTCGCATTTCAACTCGTCATGAGTTGATCGGCTCCGAGTTCAAAGACTCAGATCCTGATCTAATATTACCAGGTTTCATGAATCCAATTCCTACAAGAGTTTTGCCTTTGGCTGCGTTCAACAAGGATGGTGGTTATACCACTTACCTTCAAATTTCTCAAGGGCTCAGAGAGATAAAAGGAATTTTTGTAAATTCATTTGCGGAATTGGAGTCTCCTGAAGCTTTAAGGATGTTGAGTTGTGATGGGAATACGCCTCCAATCTACATGGTTGGACCAGTGGTTGACCTCAAGGGTCAGCCTAACCCGTGCTTCGATCAAGCTCAGCACGAAAAGATCATGAAATGGCTCGACAAGCAGCCTAATTTCTCTGTTCTGTTGCTCAGCTTTGGAAGCTTTGGACAGTTCTTCAAAGCTTCCCAATTGAGAGAGCTTGCTCTCGGACTCGAACGCAGCGGATGTAGATTCTTGTGGTGCTTGAGATCTCCTTCTCAACAGACAATAAGAAGTGCTACTGAGGGGATCATCTTGCCCGAAGGATTCTTGGAGAGGACTAAAGGGAGAGGGATGATATGCGAGTGGGCGCCGCAGATGGATGTCTTAGCCCACAAGGCGACTGGAGGATTCGTGTCACATTGCGGGTGGAATTCCATGCTGGAGAGCTTGTGGCATGGCGTTCCCGTTGCAACTTGGCCTATTTACGCGGAACAACAGCTAAATGCGTTTAGGATGGTGTGGGAATTCGGATTATCGACTGAGGTGAGATTGGATTACAGGGAAGGTGGAGATGATGTGACCGCGGAGGAGATTGAGGTGGCGATAAGACGCCTTATGGAAGGTGGCGTTGAGATGAGGAGCAGGGTGAAAGAGATGAGCCAGATGGCTAAGAATGCAGTAGCAGAAGGCGGGTCTTCCTCTAATGCACTTGGGGAACTAGTCAAGGATATTATAGGGAGCAACTAGTTGATTAGCAAACAACAGGAAGCAACTAATTGTCTACGCAATAAGTAAACTACTCCAATTCTTGTGTTTATTGCTGTCCTTGAAAAAATAAGGATGTGACTTGTTGTCTTTTTTCTTCTTTATTTCTTGAATAAATGAAAACAATGAGTAATTTCCAAAACGAAAAAAGAAAATAGACGTGTTTATTATGGATATGTTTGTTATCGCCCCAACCATCTTCTCCATTATCGCCCCAACCACTGTCAAACCCATCCTCAGGCGCAGCTCGTCAGTGTCGGGGTGCGTCCGCCTATTTCTGAAGTGTTGTTCCTGATCATTTTTCTCCTCCGTCGCCGTTGAAGACCTCGCCTCGCACCAATTCGCCCACGAGTAAAGCCTCACCCCCGCGCCGTGTGCTCCGGCAACGGCTGAGGAATCTGAAACCAGCAACTAGGCCCGTCGCCCCCGTCGATCTTCGTCGACGCGAGACTCCTTTCCCCTTGATGCTCATTTCCCGCAACAAGAAGTTTTTCTTTGTTCTACTTTTGTTCCGCTTCTTGTTTGGAAGGCGAGAATGTGGAGGAAAATGAAAACTAAAAAATAAAAAAGAAAATGATGTTCTATTGTAATGCACTTTTTTGTTTTGTATTTTATTTTATTTTATTTTTTGCTTTATCTTGGTCAAGTTGATTTTTCCACGATGAAGATTTTTTATTTAATTAATGTTTTTACTTTTTTTTTTTTTGGCTCATGTTTTTACATTGTTGTATTTCTTGGATTGTTACCCTTTTTTGAATGATTTGTGCTCCAATGGTAGATGTGGTTGGGGCTTGTCATACTACAAAGGAAGGAAGAAATGATGCAATAAGTAAACTACTCCAATTCTTGTGTTTATCGTAGATCGGCAAGTTTTGAGAAAAGTCTGGGGAAGAGCATAGTTGAAGCATGTTTTGGACTTTCTGGGAATGATAAGTAAAGGGTGGATTCTGTAATCTAAATGAATGTGTTCTTATTTAGCTTGACGATGATGAATTTGAATCTTTGATTTTTTGAGAAAAAAAAAAAATTGAAGTAATTTCTTGGAAAATCGGGTGCGATACTGGGATTCGTTTTATGGGTTTTATTTTTATTTTTTTTAAAGCTATAATCGATAGGATAAATTTACAGTAGGAGGGTGTACTTGCTCGTATCAGTAGGGTAATGATTTTAAGCCATTGATCGTATTTGTGCGGTTCAGATTGAAGAGATGCATTGAAATGTTATAACTCAAATTGCAAATGATTACACTAAAAAAAAATTATTTGAACCCATATCAACAATGGGTCTGATGAAATGCCGGCGACCTCCTCCGCCGCCTCTAGCGACTCCTCATCCTCCTACTCCATCGATCCATTCATCCAACTTTTTCGGCAACATCTACGACGTGATTCAAGCTCCTGACCCAGCAAATTAGAACACATACTGAACAAGCTCAGCCTTCTCGTGAGCTGCTTCAACTTCGTCTTCTCCTCCGATGTCGTTGCTCCAATGGCTACTTCGAATCCTAGCACGATGGCGACGGCAGCAGCAGCTATCATGTGCGCAATGTGGCAGAGACATCGAGAGCGACAACAACCACAGTCATGGACTCTGTTGGTTGGGTAAGGGATGTTTGGGCGACGATTAGGGGCGGAGGTAGAGGTGATCGGTTGGAGCCTGGGGGTTTGTTATGCGGACGTGAGAGGAAAAACGTCGCGACGTTTAGGCGACAACTGTCAAAGAAGCAGCAGATCGTGGTATTTGCGAAGTTTTAGCTTGCGATTGGCAGCGATTGGAGCCGAGTTTCATCGCGGGAGTAGCTAGGTCTTGGAAATCGGCGGCCGGTGAGTACAATGGTTGGGGCAGTGTCGACGGAGGACGTCAGCACGTGGTGGAGGTGGCGGCGCGTGTACCAACAGCGGCGAACTCGAAAACAACTAAGAAATAATAGTATGTTTTGTTTTCTGTATTCGTATCTATTAGGATAATTAAACCATCTTTCTGATATTTGTCTTATTAGCCTTTTTTGTTTTTTGTGACTTTTCTGTTATGCCAGTTGTCTAGGTGAAAGCATTCCAACGAAAGTTTGTTAGGTAATAAACTCAGAGGTAGTACCTCTATATGTAATAGGGTGGTTCCCCTTTTCACCATAAGAAATGAGAATGTTTCTTCAACTTTTCATTATATTTTCCTAATATAGTATCAGAGCAATTTTCTTCCTCTGCTTCACTTTCTTCTCTTCCTTCTTCCTTCAATCTTTGAGTATGGCTTGAGGTGGTGGTGGTCAACAAAACCCCCATAATAATCCCAATAATACCAATCGCTTCCAATCACTCACTCCTCCTTCTTCTACTACCACTACGTCTATGACTAACTCTTCTGCCATGAACAATATCCACAGCCCTTTATTTTCTTCACAGTGGCGATCATCCTGGCCTAGCTCTTGTTTCTCACATTCTTACCGGCCCTAACTATAACACTTGGAGTCATGCCATGCTCATGGCTCTTAATGCCGAAAACAAGCTTGGATTTGTTGATGGTGCTCTTCTGCAGCCACATCCAGAGGATCCCTCCGCCGGTGTCTGGTCTAGATGTAACAGTATGGTTACATCTTGGCTCGTCAACGCAGTTTCTAAAGAAATTGCTGACAGCCTCCTCTATCTTGAGAGTGCTCAAGTTGTTTGGTCCGATCTGCCCGATCAATTTCGCCAGAGCAACGCTCCACGCATCTTTCAAATCAAACAACAACTCCACGGACTGTCTCAAGGATCCCTTGATGTCAACACCTACTACACTCGCTTGAAGATCTTGTGGGATGAGCTCAAAAATTTTCAGCCCGTCCCTGTTTGTCAGTATGGAGGTATGAAGGCATGGATGAATTATCAACAACAAGAATACGTCATGCAGTTTCTAATGGGTCTCAACGAATCCTATGCCGGAATGCGTGGTCAAATCTTGATGCTTGACCCCTTACCCTCTATTTCGAAGGTATTCAATCTTGTTGTTCAAGAAGAACGACAACGTTCTATTGGCTTGATAAGTGTATGAAAATGCACCAAAATTGTTCATAATTGCTAAATAAATTAAGTTTTTATTTAATATTTTCGTGGAATTAATATTTTGTGAAAGTATTTGATTTTAATTTAATTTGTATTGTTTTGTACGGAAATAAGACATTTGGGCCAAAACTAAAAGAAAAAGAAAATGAAGCCCATCAGCAGCCCAGCCGTCTGCCAGCCGTGCCAGCCGAGCCGAGCCGCGCGAGCCTCACCCGCGCTGCCACGTGTCACCGTCTGGTGCGTCACAGGTCCGTGGGACCCAGCTGTCCCCACGCGTACGCGCACGTGGCGCGCACGGATCCCTCCCTCGGGCGAGTTCTCTCCACGCGTGCGTCAGGCCGTTCAGCTTTCTTCTTCCGCGTGGGTCCCGCCGTTCAGCAGCCCTCCTACCACCTTCCGCCACGTGTGCCATGGGACCCAGCTGTGCAGCATTTTCTTCATCTCTGCGAATCAGAGGTTGCCATGTGTCCATGCGGGACCCAGTTGTCGGCCACTTACTCCTCTCAGCCTCTCTTCGCGCGACACGTGTCCCACCCGTTTGGGATTCTTCAGCCAGATGCGTTTGTATCCGTTGTTTTGTCGTTTTTTCTGACTGTGTGCAACAGAGATTATTCTTCAAGCCTCAAACTGTTGTGATGGTTTTTCTTCCCACCATAATCAACTTTTACTCACCAAATAAAGCCTGGTAAATTTCAATTAAATAGGGAAACATTTTTAGCCTTATTTTCTTTATTATTTTTGTTGCTGATTGTTACTTTTAGCATGACCCAAAACTCTATAAATAGGGTCATTATCAAGATAATTGGGTTGTTAGTTTTTAGCCTAAGTTTAGACATTTTTTTCTCTTTGGTGAGGTTAGAGAGAAACCTATATGTGAAGTGATCTTAAGTGGATTTTGATTCTCCATTTGTTTTTCAAAGTGTATATATTTGAGCGATTAATTTTCTTCTATCTTCTCATAATTTCTCATATTGATATATTCTATTATCAACTTTTATATAAATCTAGTCAAGCTCTTTTTATGTGATTGTTGCATGATACTATATATTGGTAGGTACTATTTTATGAGTAGTCTTTTACTGCAATATTGCCAACGGTATATTGTCGCTTTTAGATTTCTCATAAGATAATTTTTCCTAATACTAAATGTAAGAATTTTACTCACTCGAATACATTTTAATTCACATGTTCTTCAAATATATATTTTCTGATTGTTTGTTTGGGATGTGAAACTTTTCAATTGAGTAATCTCAAAGATCAAAATCCATTCGGGTGAACCAAGCATATAGGGAAATCTCGATGCCTTACCGGTTTTAATTATATAATTTTCTCCTATATTTTTCTTACAATTAAACTTCTCAACAAAAATTCCATTCTCTTTTATTTTAATTTTATTATTTATCTCCTGACATTTTTTATTTGCTAATCGTTTCTTGTTTAATTTGTCACTTCCTTGTTTTATTTCCTAATTGTGCTAATCCTCCGTCTCCGGCCGATTCTCTAGCCTTCAGTGTCCCTTCTCCTTTGCCCCTTCTTCCTACTGCGGCCGTCACCGCTGCTTCATTTACTCCGAGTAGGCTGAGGCGTGATCGACCTATTTGCTCTCATTGTGGCCTTGTTGGCCACACTGTGGATCGCTGCTACAAGTTACTGTTAGTCTCCGAATCGAATTCGGATGCGGAAGCGTGGTGCGGGGAAGATACTCTATAGATTATATTAATTTATGCACGAATAAATTAATCTCATTAATTCATTTATTAATAACTCAATTAGAAAAAATACATGGAGGCCGACTCGGATGGTAACTTGAGTTCTTTGACCTCGAACAATCCTTGCTCCAAAGCTTTGTGTTTAGAAAACCAATGTCTTCCACGTCAATTTCTAGAATCCACGAAGACGTGTGTGTGGGCACACATGAGATAAAACGGGTTACAATAAACACTC